AGAAGTGACCCTTGCAAGCTGAAGCAGGGAACTGGCTAAAGGTGCTACACCCTGGTTCAATGATCAGAAAGCAAGAGACCTAAGAACTAGAAAGGTGAGGCTCACCAAGCCATTTATCTCTCCGCTCTTCAATTAACCCCACCTGTTTTTGTCAGCTAGGTTGGCACAATAAACTTTTGAGTGTCTCACTTCCTAAAGCCACGACCCTTTAATACAGTTCCACATATTGTGGTGACCCCCAACCATAAAATTTTGTTGCTACTTCTTGACTAATTTTGCTACTGTTAATGTATCAATGTAAACATCTGATATGCAGGATATATTTTCATTGTTAAAAATTGAACATCAGTAAAGCATAGTAATCACAAAAGCAGTATGTACTTATATATTGTGAATTTGATATGCAGGATGTATTTTTGTAAATATGCAGGATGTATTTTATAAATATGATTCTGATATGCAGGATGTATTTTCATTGTTACAAATTGAACATCAAACAATATGTAATTATATATTATGAAATATTAATTTCTAACGACAAATAAATGAAATTTTGTCTTGAAGTATGGTGTAGCATGGGTAGCAGTCTTCACACCTGGTACTCATATGTGGCTGTATCTGCATGTGGGCGGATCCACCTGGAGATGTATAGAGGAGTGGTGTCTCAGTTCCTAAGACCAACAGAAATATGTTTTCCCATGGTCTTCGGTGACCCCTGTGAAAGGGTTGTTCGACCTCCAAAGGGGTCGTGACCCACAGGTTGAGAACCACTGCCCTGTTTATGGGAGTGGAAGACTAAGTTTCTCTGGGGAAGCGGCTGGTGGTTTCAAACTGCTGTAGCTCAACACATAACCACTAGTCACCAGGGCTCCTTAGAGCTACTATACAACTCACTGTCATGGAGTCAATGCTGACTCAAACTGACCCTATAGGACAGGATAGAACAGCCCTGTGCGCTTCTGAGACTAACTATTGAAGTCGAAAGCACTGTCTTGTTCCCACCGAACGTCTGGTGGTTTTTAACTACCAACTTTGCAGTTAGCCCATAGGAGTGAAGAAAAACCTTTTTAATTTGCCCATAGGAGTGAAGAAAAACCTTTTTAATTTGCTAGGTTTGTGTGCGCATCATCTGATGATTTTAGAAGAAATTATTATCTACAAAAAACATAGGTATAAAATCACATCTATAACAAGGCAAACTTGTGGGATGCAAATCTAAATGGCTATCTTTAGTTTTATGACTATAAGGAAGACAGAAGAATTGACTACAACTAAATGATTGTGTTGATCAAGAATATTGAATAAATTTTGAACTACCGTGAAAAAACATCTATCTTGTAAGTACAGCTAGCATGCTCCTCAGAACCAAGGATGGCTAGACTTTGATTCGTGTACTTTGGCCACATCAGGAAAGTCCGCCCTGTAAAAAGGCACCGCATTTGGGCCAGGGTCAGCTAAAAAGAGGACTGTCCGCAGAGATGGATTCACGTAGTGGCTGCAACAATTGGATCCAGGAGAGCAACCGTTGGGACAGTCAGGACCTGCAGGGTTTCCTTCTTTTGTGTAGTTACCGTGAGTCCAAACTGACTCATCGGCACCGAGCAACAACGTGACTACTGAACTGCCCTTCAAATGTGTTCTCTGTGATCAGGCACATTTGGAAACCAGCATGACAGTATTCTCATGTTATGATGAGCGTGAATAGAAAAACAAATAGCAACGTATATGCATAATAATGTCATTTAGGAAATGCCTTCACATTTTTAGTTAACTAGATCCTGTCAACATTCCTATAGTGTCATTAGACTAGGCATTGGAATCACCATTATGCAAAGAGGCAATAGAAGCACTTAGAGACTGAGTAATCTCGTTAGGCCTGCTAACAGGTAATGTAATTCCTTACACTTTTCTATAGCATTTGTGTTAGTCTGGGTGAACTAGAGAAACAAATTCATAGGCACTCGTGTATAAGAGAGAACTTTATATCAAAGAGCAATTGTACATTAAGAAAACATCCCAGCCCAATTCATGTTAGGTCTATAAATCCGATATTAGCCCATATGTCCGTTACCAGTCTATAAATTCTTAAGACACATGCAGCACAAGTAATGACTGATGCGGGAAGAAAGATCACAGGCCAGTGGGTGAAAAGTTGTGGATCCAGCGGTGGTGTAAGCATCTCATCGCTGGCAGGGGTCTCTACATGGCTCTTCCAGCTCAGGGAACTAGCAAAACTCCATGTTTCTTGTCAGCTGCAATGTCTCCCAGGGAGCGAGGGTGTGTCCTGCCTCCAGCAAGCTAATTCTCTCCTTAGCGCTTCCAAATGAGGTCATCAAGCTGTGACCTAATTGACAGGCTAAACTCCACCCCTCCACTCTTAAGTCTCAAATTGACGACAGGTTATGTAACTACCACAGCATTTATTCTATTTAGAGTCCTGTCTTCATTGTCATTTCTGATCAGGCTTAGTGAAAATCTACACCCATCTGTTTTACTCAGACTCAGTGGTAAGGTCTGATTTGTGAGAAATGATAGGGGAAGAGGGCTTAGAATTTTTTGTACCAAACAAAAAGGGTTCAGTTATTTTCTCCACAGTCAACCCAACACACCAAACCTATACCTGTCAATTCTGCTTTATAGAAGACCCATGTGTTAGAGTTCAATAGGGTTTCCTTGGATTTTTCAGGTCTCTGGGCCTTTCTCCTTTGGTGTTGCTGAGTGGGCTTGAATAGCCAACCGTTAGGTGCATACTATTTGTGCCATCGGGAAGTGTTGGCATGTGTGGTAGCACACAGGTTGCAGCTTGATGACCTCGTTTGGGGGCGCTGAGGAGATAAATAGCTTGCTGTAGGTGGGACACACACATTCCCCGTGAGTCATTCCTGTTGACAAGACACATGGAGCTATGGTAGAGCCAAGGACCTGAAGGATCCATGTGGAGGCCCACGCCAGTGCTGAGATTCTTCTACTGCCATTGGATCCACAAGATTTTCCATCCACTGGTCTGTGATATTCCTGCACTTGGCATCATTACATGTGTTTCATGAGTCTGAAGAGGAATTTATAGATTGGTATTGGACAAATGGGCTAATTTCAGACTTAAGGACCTGATCTGGATTGGGCTGGGATGTTTTCTCAATATTCAATTGCTCTTGTATTAAATATTCAACTGCTAGTGTATTGCTCTTGTAAGCTCTTTCTTATATACATGAGTGTCTATACATTAGTTTCTCTAGTCAACCCAGACTAATACAGAATGCTAACCATAAGGTACCAGACATCTAAGACCCAGAACAAAATCATACCCAAGGTGAACTGGGGGTGGGAGTGGGGGTGCACGGAGTGCAGACCCAATGCCCATCTGTAGACAATTGGGCATTCCCTTACAGAGGGGTCACAGGGAAGATATGAACCAGTTAGGGTGCAAATACCATTTCCTGGAAAAGGACATCATGCTTGGTAAAGGGCAGGGACAAGAAGAACGAGGAAGACTCTCAGGAGATGGATTGACACT